TGTCTTCTCCCAAGGTTTGAGTACACGACCCAACTTGCCCTCGTAACTTTTTATTTAACAAAACCATTGGGATCTAATTTGTTCCCTGACATGCCTCCGGTCGTCCCCTCCCCGAAAATCAGGTGAACGTTAGCCCGCGGGGGGCACTTCACACTTTGTCCATACGACCCCACGATTTAATCTTACCTATTATACCAGTTTACAGAACCAGCCATCCTTATGGTTAACTGTCCGAATGGCATACCATTGCAAGAAGTTGATACTCAGAGGGACTATGGGATGCGGATCACGCCATCGCCTAAGCCCTCGCTGCACTGATTAAAGTTAGTCAAATTTGTAATGCCGGGTCTGTACCTAGTCAAACGGATTTTCTCTGCCTTTGAGGAAGACTGCTTCGCCAAAGTCTTTTGAACCTTTTTGCGGCCGCCGCTGTAGATGCTGGATCGCTAAGGACCTCAGCATCCTCTAAAGTGTCCCAAGGCGTACAAAAAAACTTGTGATCGGACAAGGTTCACTGCTATAAGAAAGACGGCTGCCTACCATAAACCTATTTCCTTTAAGTTCCAGGCAGCTATGAGATAACCTGATCCAAACATTTCGCATAATGCGCGGCCGGAACTGTTGCCTTTTATCATAAAATTTTTTCTAGTTAGTAATCAAGGACTACAGAGGTCATCCATTCAAACTATGTGTGACTGGAGCCAGGGTCGACACTCGAAAGTTCTCCTCCAACAGAGTGATCAAGGCTCCGAATACACTGCATCTGGATGTCGTTATGTCTGAATCCGCAGAGGTCTTTAAGCGGAAGCTGGATCGATATAGTAATGCGTACTATAATACCATCGGACCAATGCCGTTTTTACGCTTGTACAAACAACTTTTAATACTACTTTCTATATTCCAGTAAAATTCGTTTGGAGAATACCTTACTTTATCCAATTCATCGCTACGCTTACTAACACCCAGAGACACTTGAGAGCGTATTTATACTTATAATGGAGTTCTTTGTGCTGTGGACAATGGACAGCAAACGAAGTTGCCAAAAATGCTGTCCTATAAATCTCTTTGTCCTTCTGAATGACCTTTGGACTATATTGACACATTGGAGATGACCGTGCTAAAAGTGGAAAGTAGATCAACCTAGTCAGACAGAAACACCTTGTCTCTCGAACAAGCACCGATCGGTAGTACAAGACTCGGGGCGAAGGACTTCGGAACTCCACGGCCTGACTAGCGACGACAAATAAGGTGGAAATCTTCATGCTCTGTCGTAATAAAAGAACAGCGGAAACCACGACAGTTCCTATATAAATTCACTTGTAAAAGTCGCACAAATGGGCATACAGACGAGGGACATTTTTTTGCTCACCGCTGTTCCTTCAGGGCATTAAGACTGTCAGAACCACTCATGAGCATTTCATCGAGACGTCGGCCGACGTTAGTGAGTCGGGAGAACTCGTCCACTTCAGTGCCTAGGTTAATGACAGCAGCTCCGTTGACGCTGGTTGAGGGCATTGCAAAGAGGCTGGCACGATGAAGTAGTTCCTGTTCTTTCGAAGCCCTGAAAGAAGGAGGCGTCAGGGAGCATCAACAACCGGTAGTGACTGCAACGAAATATGTTGGATGAGGAAGAGGATAAAGGAAAGTGAGGAGTAACAAATTTAGGCGTTAAAATTGTACCGCTTCCGCTGGAGATTCTGTAGGTTGGAACGCAGAAACTTGCATTCTGACTGAATTTGGTCGATGGCAACTTGTACTTGCGACCTACGGCGGGGAACCTCATTGTTTGAGAGGACGTTCAAGCGTTGACAATTGGAAACTATCTGAAATGCAGAGGAGGAAGGGAGGTGGATGTAGTAACAGCCAGAAAACCATCCACCGCTGTGCCATGCACCTACGCCATAGCGTCCGTGATCGGGAATATACAAATGCATTCAAGTAAACTTCAATATCAATACCTCTGGAACATTTGACGCACGTCACTGTACGAGCGCCTACGTAAGTTCCAGAGTAGAGCTCCAAAGCGATGCCAGCACAGCCGACGCATGTGTCATAACTGAGCTGTCGGTGCGTCAACGGAAAGCGGAAGGGACTTTATTGAGGGCTAACTGTGACTTAAAGAGGGTGACTGGTCTGATAAATAAGCAGTATCGGGCCAACCACGGTATTCTACTGCATACGCATTACAATTAACGGCTCCCCCCTGACGAGAACAGTTGCCCACTTGTGCGCTAATGGCCTGACGGCCGGAGTGCGGATCGTGACCTCTTGAACCTTCGTCCCTCGTGATGATTGCTTGGCCATCTGGCTCTCAGGCACCGGCGTTAGAAAATGCGCTCGTCTGTGTTTTATCCCAGTGGTGAACCGTTTTGGCCAAAGTGAGCTTCAGCACCGAATGGGGGTTGGGCAGGTCACTGCACTTGGGGCCCATTAAATCACGATTCAAGCTATTCACGTCTCACAGGAGTATCACCTCTCATAAGCATTTCGCCTTCGTTAAATTTGAATGTGTGACCGGGTCTCGTCGAATGAGCCACGACTTGGGAATTAGCGTCATTTCGTCGCACGGCTGCCCTGTTTCCGGCAGTCTGCGCCTTCATAAGTTTTCCACTTTCTCCGATAGGGTTACCCTGTCAGCAATTGCACCAGATCCTATAGATGACGCCAGATGTTTCTTTCCGTGGTAGCGGGTCTTTTGGTTTGATTATCTGGCAGACTGGGTGGTTGCTGATGAAGTCCAACAACCATCTAGTCAGTCACAAAGTCAGCTACGTAAGGATGCTTCAGCGGCGTGTTCAGACGCAATGCAGGAAACGGAAGACAAAGTTGCCGAACTGCAATTTATTCGACGGACGCTCGGAGAAAAGGGCTCTCCGCGAAACTTTGTTAACCGGTGCATGCGCAAACGATACGAGCGACAAAATCGCAGCGAGCCCACATTTTGGTGAGCGATCCCGTACGCCAAAGGCTTATCGGAGGCCATCGACTGCCTTCTCGCCCCACTTGGAGTTGGAGTCGCACACAGGCCAGAGGCAAGCATAAGGAATCAGTCACTCTTATCTGCGACTGGCCCTGATGATAAGTTCGAAAAAGAAACCGAAAAGTCAGGCGGAACACTGCTTTGCCTTCTTAACCGCTTTCCAGGACTCGCCCTGTGCTTCTATTACCGAGCTGAGCCATGCCCGGACGGGACAACAATAAAATCGCTTGCAAATGACTTATGACACAGAGCACGTTGCTAAGCTATTCTACCCACCCCTTACTGTTTCGACTGTGGCCTTCATGTAGGGGCTGAGGATCCATAGAAGTGCCAGGAACTACGTATAGCAAATCGGCACCAAGGAATGCACTCCAGCTGTGTCGCAATAATAAACAACTTTAGGCGAATTCAAAACATGCAAGAAATA